GCTCCCAAGCGCTGCACTCTACCGAGTGTGCCACTGGGCCGGCCCAGAGCTGATAACTTTTTTAAAAAAGTCTGAAATTCTGAAGATGACAAGCCAGTGAGCAATCCAGGCCTCATTGAGAAGGAGATGACAATACCACAGACGCTCACTGGGGAGCTCAACTCTTCACAGACCATTTCCAGAAAACATGCGTTACATGAGGCATATTAGATCACAGACCATTTCCAGAAAACATGCAAAGTGACCCTAATAAAATATGCAGGAGGATGCATCTGTCCACAGAAAAACACCTGTCAGATCAAGAACGTGTAGAAGCAAAACATAGAAGTAAAATTTAATGTTAAAAAAACCAAAAAACAAAAAAACCCTGTAACAGAAAATAAGCTTTTTGTATTGCAAAACAACTTAGAAACATTCTGTAAAAATCTTGCTTAGTTTACCAGAAATTTCTTCCTGACCCAAAACTCAGTCTTAATTGTTTCAAAGACAGATGAGGATCCTAAAAATATCTCCAAAATTAGACACTTCAGCAAAGAAATACATATCAAAATAATTTTACAAAACATTATAAAATGATTCTAGGACATGACGAGGATGTGTAATGACTGCTGCCAGCCAGATTCTGTACTGGAGGGAAAGAGAAAACGGAAAAACCATAAAGACATCACGGGCCAACTGACAAAACTAGCATGAGGACAGATAAGATTCAAAAACATTCTATCAGTTTTAAATGTAAATTTATGAACTGTGGTTATAAAAAGATGATCCCTATAAGAAAATAGCCACTGAAGTTTTAGGGGTAAAGGGCCTTGCTCAGTGGGGGAGGGGGAGGGCGCGAGGTGAGAGAGAAGAGCAGGAGCCACGTGAGGGGGTCGAGGACTGACACGTCAACAGAAGGACACGTGGGTAAAGGGTCACACTGGCATTCCTTAAGCCATTCTATTCATGCAACTGTTCTATTTGAAACTGTTCCCAAAGTTTTGTCTCTTTTCTTTTTTTTTTAAACATTACTTTAGAAACAAGAGAGCAAGCATGGTACAGTGGCTGGGCACGTGGGCTTGGGTCAGGTAGGCAGAGCTCGAGTCCAGCTCCTCCACATCTCTGAGCCTCAGTTTCTCATGTTCCCGATGGAGCAGTGGCTACCTCGGGGTGCTGTCAGCGGATTGAAGGTTTCAATGGGCTCAGCCGCCATTAGGCCCTAAACATACCCCTGGCACTGCCTCACATGAGCCAAGAACTGCCCTGCCAGAGGGGGTGTCAACATCGAAGGAACTTCCTGGACTGGGCTGTCCCCAAGATAGAGAGGAGAAGAAGAAGAAGGTGTTTTCAAAGTCATTGTGCTAAAAAAAAAAGGGTACCTCAAATATCCTGAACCCTGTTTAAATAATAATCTAGAACTGTTTCTCTAAACTGTGGGGAGTGGAGGGTTACAACTCGGAGGCAAGAGTTTCATGGGCTTACTACACTTGCCGTACGACCAGGTCCAGCCTCTGCGAGTTGTTTGGGAAGGGCTCTCAGGCAGCCTATGGTAAGTCCACATGCTGCAGGCACAAACCCTATGCTCCAAGGTGGACTGCTGCCCTCCCCCAGCTTGCATCCAAAAAGATAATTCAATCCTAACCGTATGTGAAGAGCACTTCTGGTCCCAGAGCAGGTAAGTGTCCTCACTGCTGTGACTAGCCTGGTGCTTTCAGAGAGAGGGGGCTAAAGTTGGGCACATTTCAGGTATGTGATTTTAAGAACAGCCCAGGGACCACAGGGTGACAGCCACATCAACTACAGAACACAGAGGTCTGGCTTACGGCAGGGAGGCTTGGAGGGCGTGTGCATGCAGAGAACCCAGATCCCACATGGGAGCCAGGAGGAGAGGGGCTGGAGGAGCACGGCGCCAAGGGTTGGGTGCATAGCCTAGGCCACAGGGACCAGGGAGGATGCTGGTGAATGGCTTTAGCGTCAAGGGACAACCCAGGGTGTGGGGGGGGATTTAGAAGTTGCTAAAGCCTGGAAAGGGAGTGAACGTAAAAAAGCAAATCCAAAGAAGCAAAGGTCTGGGCAAGAGAGACACATTTCTCTCAGTTTGGAGGAACTTGAAAGGTGATCAATGTTACCTTCTTTGAAACTCATAAAACTGAGTTTTGCATTAAGTTCTTTGGCAAAGAAGAAAGAAGAGTAAAAGTAACTATAAACTATTCTGGCAAAACAATTTTCTCTCTATTCTTTCATTTTTCCTGTTAACGGTTCGTCCTCTCCGCCCTGTTGTGCCTTCTTCCCCCCTCTCCTAATCTGGCTTGTATGGCAGCGACTGCGGGGCTCGGGAGGGCCTCACTCATGTCCAAGCCCCCGCGCCGGGCACAGCTCCTCCACAAAGCAGACAGGCAGAGTATATACCGACTGGAATCTGGTTTTAAGTTTAAAAGGCTTTCCTCTTCTCACTAAGCAACAAAAGCCATACCTTATACCATCAAATAACCTATTTACTGCTTAGAGATTTTTTATTTTGTGTGGAACTCAATGTTTTCCTGTGGCTCCTTTAAAAAAAAAAAGTCCTCTGTTGGTGGTAATCAAAGGGTCATTGCATAGAGATGGGTCTGGGGGGGGGGGTTCTGGAAAGAGACAGGAGGGAACATTCTAGGGGACCGAAATACTCTATGTCAACTTGGGTGCTGGTAACACAGGTATAGACATTTTTCAAAACAAACTGTACACTGAAATCTATGCATTTTATATATAACTATACTTCAACATTAAAAAAAAGAATTAAAAAGCTGTCTGCCCAATCCCAGGCCCTAGTAAATTGAATCTGGCTGCGAGTCCTGGATCTGGGGTGGTACTGGGATAAACCTGGAGCTCTGGTCAGCCTGGATGGGCCTGGGAAGGAGCTGCGGGCCTGGGAAGGAGCTGCGGGCCTGGGGAACTGGCTGCTTCCCCTCCCCCATCCCTCTGTGACACTCACTCACAGGAATGGCACCAAAAAAGGTGGTGCGGGGAAAAGGGAGGTACAAAGACAGGACTTGGACTGGGGTCTGATCTGACATCAGGGTAGTTTCCAAGGAAGAAATGAAGGCACGACACACAGCTACCCCTAACACTCAGGCAGGCACAGAAAATGTTCTCACTCAAGTATTTTGTAAGCATTTCCACAGGAGTATTTTCTTTTTGTGTATTCTATTGAAGCCCTGCAGAAAAGGCAAGGGTGTCATCAGGTGCTTTCAGCAGAAGAAAATACTCATCACAATACTGAGATGTTTTCTAAGACACATTACAGGCCTTGTTTCACCTCAGCAGCTGCACATGAGATACTCTGGAGCAAGGCAGCCATCTTGCTAAAGAACTGTTCTGCTCCCTTTCACATCTGCACACTAGGAAACGTATGCCCCACAGAGCCAACACCAGCTCACGCCTCATAGCACTTCACGGTGATGCCTAGTAGGTTCGCTGTCAGGCAGGCACATTCACAGCCATGACCTGACACAGAGCATTTCATTGTTTGATCTTTCCTCAGTAACCAATGTGCACAGTTCCCCAGCCAAGGACCACTTAGGAGCACACCTAAGTACAGGTGTTAAAATACTGCAGAGCTCTTCAAGTGACTCACTGTGAAAACACCTGGGGTGGTTCTACCGTCCACTGAGGGAACCTGAACTCTCCTCTGGTGCTGGCAGAATGGCCCTGCAGGGCAGAAGCACCACTGAGGGGAGGGCGCCGAGCCAGGGGCTGGCAAGGCTATGCTGTGCACCCAGGCGTCCCAAGGAGGGCTCCTGGCCTCGCCCGAAGGACACCACGCAGCCCTGCAAGGGAAGTGGTGAAGCTGCTGCTGCAGCTGGACTCCGGTCCCACCTGCCCTCTCCTCTAAGTGCTGACGGTAAGCAAGCAGCAAATCCTGAGAATAGCCATTACATAACCTTCTTGCGTTTTTTAGAAAATGCCAAGAAATTTTTCAATTAACAAATGAATTTTTTAAAACTTATTTAGGGCTATAGAAAGCTATTTCTGGTCCCAACAACATTCAGGGTGATTCGCCAGCCACGAGCTTTCATTTTTGTTTTTTCTCTTAATTCTATCTTTCAGATTTTGTCCATCAAGAACTCTCTAAATGATACCACTGCCTCATCCCCAAACTGATATACAGGTCCATGGAAAGGTGACATGGGAGCTGCTGCCATTCTGGCAGTCTGGGCAGAATGAACAGAACAAAGTTCATCTTACCTCACCAAAAGCGCCTCTTCCAATTACTTTAATTATTTCAAAGTCTTCTCGATGAAGCTGCATTTCCTTCACCAGCTGTGTAAATGGTTTAGCTACAAACAAAAAATGTAAAATCAACAATTTAGTCTAATAAGTTGATACTATATAAAAATTTAATTGATTAGATTAAATTTAATTAATCCCACTAAGTTATACTTCAAAAAAAAAAACTTACTTTTTAAAATATTTAATATCTGAAAAGTTTTGGAAAGTCGGTATTTATGCTACTTAATGTAGTTGTTTATCATGAACAACTATACATCAACATCTATTAGAACAAACACCATCGCTACAAAAATTTCCTTGCAAAACTCTTTTCATCTTCTGGTCAAAGCCAAGGTTTACCTATCCTGAGGCAATGACGGGCATGTTCCTGTCCATCTCGTGGCCACAGCTCAGCTTGCAGTAGCTGAGAACACAGCGCAAAGGTGAAAGAGCTCTGAACTCCACCTGTCCACACAGCACAAGCCACGAGGCAGCCGGGGGAGCACAGGACATTCTCCGAGAGTGCAATGGTCTCAAAAGTGCCAGTGGCATCCCTGGGCATCCACCACAGTCCTCCATCAGGCACTTCATGCTGCTGCTCACCTATCCTCACACTGACTCAGAGGTTAATTCTATTATTACCCACATCTTACAGATGAGAAAATTGAGCCAGTTTCTGTGGACAGTGTACTGGGTTGAGTAGTGACCCTTGAAAAATTCATGTCCAACCCAGAACCTGTGACTGGGACCTTATCTGGAAACAGGGTCTTTACAAATGTAACCAAGTTAGGATGAGGTCATAAACTGGAGTAGGGTGGGCCGTAAATCCAACAAGACTACTACCCTTATAAAAACAGAGAATTTGGACACAGAGGGAAAAAAAAGCCACGTGAAGACAGAGGCAGAGGTTGAAGTGATGCAGCCACAAGCCAAGGAACCCCAAGGACTGCCAGCAGCCACCAGAAGCTGGGAGGGGCCAGGAAGGATTCTCCCCCAGAATCTTCCGAGGGAGGATGGCCCTGCCAACACCTTGAGTTTGGACTTCTGGCCTCCAGAACTGTGAGAGAAGAAAAATTTGTTTTAAGCCGCCCAGTTTGTGGTGATTTTTCACAGCAGCCCTGGGAAACTCCTACAGGGAGGCCAGGTGATCTCTTCCCAAGAACTAGAGCAAGTGCAGGCCTAGCTCCCTTGACCACAGTCCATCCTGCTCACAGCCCAGCACCCATTTAGTCAATTACCTTACACCTGGGTCTTCATTTTCATCTTCAGGCCCAGATTCCCATGTTTTATGCTAACTTTTATTTGTTCTACATAGCTCTTTTTCAAATCCTCCATAACTAGTTTTGCAAAGTGATACCATTGGAGGAAACTGGGCAAAGCGTGTGAGGGATCTCTGTACGATTCCTTACATGTGTGTCTATAATTAGCTCCAAGAAAACATGCAACCTGACATTTTCCGGGCTTCTAATTGATTTCCATATTATTAACCTCACTAATTCAGGACTTTTTTCTCCTTAAACAGTTGCTCAATACCACGAAGATTTGATCATCATGGTTCTCTGATGCAAGTAACAATAGCAAGAGCAACAGAAGGTTCTTGGTGTCTATCAGACAGTGAGTTATGAATTCCGGCCCCACCATCACCGTACGTGCCCATCAGAATTTTAGGGAACAGAACACACAGGCCTGAATTATTAAGAAAAAGAAAAAAAAAAAAAGGCTTAAGAAAACCCTTGAGCTGGAACTTAAAAGGTCATCTGTAGTCCATTCTTCTTTCAGATATCACCTAAAATAACCATTCCCCAAATTCCTAATTGAAATGAGTCTTTTTAAACAGCCACTGAAGACGACCACCTCTCTTGGTATTTTGGGGGGTACCAAACTGTACCTTTCATTTTACTGTGAAGAAAAACAATGACAACAAATCTGATTTGTCCTCTCCTACAACCAGCAAGTGAGAATCTGGGAAAGGAGAGAATGGCAATTGGTGATGAAGGAGCTTTGTTTGCCACAAACCGTACACAAGCACACACTGCAGAAACGCTCACTCTGACGGTGCTACAGCACAACATTCTGGACCCTTCTACAAAACCTCCAAAACTCACAACAACACTTGTTAGCCACTGTCCTAACTGTGCAAACCAAACCACAACATACAAAAATGAGGAAAAAGTCCACCACAATTGCATCTTGAACCAATTTAATTTATCCATGTTCCCAGTCCAGTTCCTGTTCATAAGATATACTCAGTGGCTGAGTAATTCAACGGTTACTCAATTATCACTTTAACAAATGCATAAACTGGGATGACACACCAAAAATTTTAAATTATGTGTCTACTGAACACATAGGTGAGTCTAATTTTAAAAGTTATTTTCTTATGGTGAATAAATTTACAATAAACATTTTCATGCACACAATTTTTTTTCTATTTAAAATAATTTTTAGGATGATATTCCAGGACTCCAAAGGACACTAACATATCTTATGGTGCTTAATTTGCCTCCAAAATGTACCTACTGAGTCACAGGAGGTGTTGGTGTCACCACCGCCCCTCCTCAACACCATGCACTGATGTTTCATCTGTGACATTTACAGTTCTGTGATGCCTGGTGAGGCTAACAGTCTCCTGTGTCCAGCTGTATGCCATTATGTTAACTGTCCATTCATGACATTTGCTCATGGGTCACATCTCGATCTTTTTTTTTTTTTCCTTTTTGTCTCTTTTTTCGTGACCGGCAACGGATCGCAACCCTCAGTGTCACGCCCGCACCTCACTCAGCCAGTGAGCGGCCGGTCTGTATGTGGGATCCGAACCCTCAGCGGGAGTGCCGCCACACTCCCAAGCGGCGCACTGTAGCAGTGCGCCACCGGGCCGGCCTCGATCTTTTTAATAACTGTATGAGAACACTTTCTTTGGCTTTGTCAGACGCAAAAGCTGTAAATGCCATTCCTCCATGCTGTTGCCTCTTTTCATCTTAACTATGCTATTTTTCATATTATAGAAATGATTACTTTTAATAAAATTATTGTTAATAAAATTGAGGTGGTTCCTTTTTCCCTTGTCATCTTATTATTAAGTCTTAGAAAGTTATCACCCCTTTGAAGATTGGTTGTTGAATCCTATGTTCTGCTAAATGGCTTTTTAAAATACTTAAAAAAAATTTTTTTTTGGTCTTTTTTTCCGTGTCCGGCAACGGATTGCAACCCTCAGTGTCGCCCCCGTACTGGACCGGGACCGGCAACGAGATCGCAACCCTCGGCGTCGCTCCCGCGCCTCGCTCAGCCAGTGAGCGGGAACCGGTCTGTATATGGGATCCGAACCCTCAGCGGGAGCGCCGCCGCACTTCCCAAGTGGCGCACTATCGCAGTGCGCCACCGGGCCGGCCCCAAAATACTTAAAAATTTTAAAAAACTATTTATTCCATCTATTGTTTAGAGTATTTTAGAGTATGATGTGAAATGTTTATCTTAATTTCTAGTTTTAACCAACTATATGTATTTAAGTGGTCTAATGATACTTTGTCTAATTCTGTTTATTCCTCCCTTAGCGATTACTTGAACAAAGAAAATACAACGTAAAGAACTGTTGACTAGGTAACTAAAATTTTTAAAAGGGCACACTAAATTATCATGGAGATAGCAGATGTAGGAAGTGTTTACTGCCTTTAGGATCAGGGGAATGAAAGAAAGAGGTTGGAATTTTTAAAACTCAGAAACCCGGGCGAAGGACCCTGTGACACTGAAACTCAGACCTCTGAGGATGAGGTGCTGCTGGCTGGTACTGCAGTCTGTAAACTCAAAGGCAGACCTCACAGGCTGGGACCCATGTATCTGAGGAGGGAGAGCCAGCTAGCTGATGCTGGTGTTTCAGGAGACTGCAATGAGGCTGTTCTTCAAGTGTAGGAAAAAACCCCAAACTGGAATCGGCTGCCTACTCAGCAAATGAACTTGGCTGCCAGGATGAAGTGGGCTAGTGCAGCACTCAAAGGAAGAGGAAGCGGGCAGGATGCTCAAGTCCCTTCCCCCTCCTCCCAGCCCTACAGTTCCCTCTAGCGTCCCCTTGAGGCAGAGCTCAACAGGGAGCAAGGGGTCAAAGTTCACCCAAGGGGGTGGGGGTGATGGAGTGAGAAGGACATGTGTGCTGAGAAGCACATGTGTGCTGAGAAGCAGGTGAGAATGGGGACTGAGATATGGTACCTACAGGAGTGCTAATCAAATAATTAAACAGATTCAGGATGATGGGAGCCAGACTCCCCAATGTCAGAGAAAGAAGCTACAGATAAGGGAGAAACCTAGAAGAAACCATAAAGTATTGGACCAGAATTGGAGGTAGAAGTATAAACTCAGTTTTCAATATATACGGATGGAAACAGAAATAAATATAGACATAAGTGGGTGTGTACACACATACAGTCCTACCCGTGTCTAAAGAGAGGGCCTAAAAGCAACAACACCCCAACAACAAGCATATCCAGTGCCAGATTTTGCTTTCTAAATACCATTCACCAGCAAAGGAACAAGGGCTCCTTGGGCAATTCCAGAGCTGGGTCAGAGAACTACAACGTGAGCCTGGAGCAGCTTGTGCCAGAAAGTAAGGAAGTGCTCAAAGAACAACAGCAAATCAAACACTCATAGGTGCAGACTATAACCTATTAAATAAAACAGAAAACCAGAAGTCTGTACTGACATTAATAAATACATAAAATTTAAAATCTGATAAGAAGTGGGACATTTATATAGTTCCCAAGTACATGCAAACAAAACACCTGTCAATTACAAAGGATGACTTTACAGTGAAGTACGGCAGACACTACCTAAGTCAAGTGATCAGAGTGAACATCAGTAAAGTGACAAAGTGAAACTGTGCCCCTTCTGATAGGACCCAACAAGGAAAACACAGTGTCACTTCTGTGTTTTTCCTGCCAAAGATACATAACCCAAATCTAATCATGAGGAAAAATTAGGTAAAGCTTAATTGAAAGAACATTCTCCAAAATGACTGGCTTGCAATCTTCAAAAGTTTCAAGGTTGTGAACTGTTCACACAGAAGGGAATTAAAGACACA